GGGTCTAGTCTAACTACCACCTCCACTTCAGAGGTGTCCTTTACAGGTCAAGAGGCTGAAAGTGACCTCTCTCCCGTCTCCCACCCTGCACCCCGGCACGTCACTGCTCCAGTTCCACGGCTCATGTATTTCCTGAACTCCACTATAGGTATTCCTTTATCCTATCTCCCCTACTAGCACAAACTCTTAGAGGAAAGGCACGGTTTAAAAACCTGTAGCATTTGACACTGTTAATAAGACCACACCCCTTGAAACCTTCTTCCAGAGCCTCAGTAGTATCATACTTTCTTAATTCTCTTCCTAACTCTCTGATTGCTCTATTTCTGCCTCTTTACCTCGTGCCCCACTCCCAAAACCATTCTAAGTGTTCACTAGAATCCCTAGATTCTGTCTCAAGTTTCTTCTCTCCCTCTACAATCTCATCTACTTCCAATTTCAATTACACTGCTCTACACAGAAGATTCCCAAATTGTTATTTCTAGCCTCAACTTCTCAATCATATTCCATACCTACATGTATACCTATCTACTGCACTGAATTTCTCAGATAAGCTATTTGGCCAACAGATCAAGTTCATGGTTCCCAAAAACAAAGCTGACTTCTCATTCCAATTTGCGGCTCTCTCCCTCTCTGACAACAGCATCACAATTCATCCTCCCAGTCACTACATCCCAAAACCTCAGGTGACCCCATGCTCCTAAAAACCCCAGGTGACCTCATCCTCTAATGTATTACCATTTTATTTAAACCATTCCCCCATGCATCCCAAATTCAGTCATTTAGAAATACTAGGGATTAAATCTCTGCAACACTTTTTCTATCTTTGCCTCTTTTCCATTAATTTGGCTTCTACTCCTGTGGTATAGTGGTTAAGAGCACAGACTCAAGTCAGATTCCCCGGGTTCAGATCCCACCCACCCTAAGCTGTGTGGCTTTGGATGAGTTCTTAAACCTCTGGGCCTCGCTTCCCTCATCGGTAAAACTGGAATGATTAATACTTTCCACCTCTCTAGGCTGTCATGAGGATTAAAATGAGATAACACATGAAAAGGGCTTGGCACAGAGTAAGCACTCAATAAATATTAGCAGCTTTATCATCATTTCCACCCTGCTCAAGCCCTCATGATCTCCTGCCTGGACTCCTGCAGTAACTTCCCAAACCGGCCTCTCTGCTATCAGTCACTCTTAGACACAGGGCTACCCACTGCCATCGCAACCTTCACATACACGTAAGAGTTAGAACTTACGTAGGGCTTGGACAACAAAATGTGTTGGGATACACAGTGAAATGTAACAAGGTGTATTTACAATAGCAAATAGTTTTGTTTTTTTTTTTGAGGAAGATTAGCCCTGAGCTAACATCTGTTGCCAATCCTCCTCTTTTTGCTGAGGAAGACTAGCCCTGAGCTAACATCCGTGCCCACCTTCCTCCATTTTATATGTGGGACGCCTACCACAGCATGGCGTGCCAAGTGGTGCCATGTCCGCACCTGGGATCCAAACTGGCAATCCCGGGACCGCCAAAGCGGAACATGCAACTTAACCGCTGCATCACCGGGCCGGCCCCAGCAAACAATTTTATATTCCTAAACTAATGGTATGAAAGGGAGAATGATAGTTGATAAAGTTGAAATAGTAAATTGACACTAGGAAGTGAGCCTTAAATTTCATATTAAGAACTCTAAACTCAAGAATCTAGTAAGGAGGAGTGTCATAAAAGGTTGTGCACCTCCCGCTTTCCCCAAAGGATGTAAGGGAGTAGAACACTTAGAGGAAACCCAGTAACATCATTGCTGAAATGGGTTAAGCTGTTCAAATGCAGCAGCACAGACAGCACGAACATTTAATTCCCTCTGCTTTTGCAATTTGCTTAAAGTAATTAGAATATCTATTGTTTCAGATTCATCTAAACAAACTCTTTTTCATCTGATCAAAACTGCATCTGCAGGGCCGGCCCCGTGGCCGAGTGGTTAAGTCCGCATACTCTGCTTCGGTGGCCTGGGGTTGGCCAGCTGGGATCCTGGAAGCCACGCTGAGGTGGCGTCCCACGTAGCACAACTAGAAAGACCTGCAACTAGGATTTACAACTACGTACTGGGGCTCTGGGAGGGCAAAAAAAAACTGTATATGCATTCTCCCACAAAATAAACTTAAGATTTGGGCTCTCTGGAATATTTTTAGTGTGAAGAGAAGAATGATTCAAAGCTCCTGACATCCCAAATTAAGCAAATACTCCATCTGCTTTCCAGGTACTACAATCCTGGTGCTTTATTTCTTTTTTGTGGTTCGATAACTTCATTCTATGCCCACAATTGATTTCTAGCTATCATTTTAAATGACTTTTGGTCATTTAAGACAACATATGGTTCTAAAAGTGACTACTTTTTAATATGTCAAAAATCAGAAAGTATCTGATGGAAAAAGAATACCTCAGTGCCTGAAGAGCCTATATGTCATCATTAAAGAAGTGGTTTTAGTAAATCATGACTTAAAGTTGGGCTAATTTTTTGAATGATTAACTGAATACTATTAGGTAATACCTTTGAAATATGTTGTCTATTAACATTTGCTACATAACAGTGTCTCCAGTAAATAAAGAATATTTATATCAAAAGAAATTAATCCTTTTTTCCATTCACTCCATATAAACACATACTTTGAAAGACTACTGATTAAAGAATAAACATTCTTTAATAATGTAATATTCTTAACAATGTAATAATTTCCTGTTACTAAGCCACTCTCTTAAGGTCTTCTAAAGTTGTTTTTCATTCCATTTTGAATATGATGTCTTTATCCATGCCAACTGCCGCCAAGGCAAATGTTAAGTGGGTACCAACAATATTCATCTAAACTATCTGAGAGTGTATTAAGATCTGCACACTCTTTACAGAAAAAAGGGAAAAACAGACTTCTACCATGTACTATGGGCACATTTTTCACACTTGCAGATAAAGAGAGTAATCTGCAGTTTGGTGTGAAGAGCAAAGACTTCAGAGTCAGAAAGACCTGAGCTGGCATGCAGGACCATCCCCTGCCAGGTGTTTAATCTCGAGCAAACTCATCTCTCTGAGCCTGCCCCCTCGTCTACAAAACCAGAACAGTACCCATCTGCAGAGCTGCTGGGGAAATAAACAGAGCCTGTCTCCAGCAATGCCATACACTTTGGCGTCAAGCAGTCGATCGAAACCCATCACTGCCTCACTGAAAGTGTGATAGTAGGAGAGGTGTTCAACCTCTCTGTTGAAGTGGCATCCCCAGTTTTCTTAAGTGGGGAACACACCACCTACATCGCAGAGCGGCTGCGACTCCTGAAAGTACAACCTAACGCAAAGCCCCGAGCACAGAGCCTGCCCACAACAGACGCCCCAGACCAGGGTCCTTTCACCCTCTCTTCCAGTGTGGTCCTCAAGTGGTCCAGAATCCAGGAAAAGGGCCCGAAAGACATCCAGAAAGTAGGCCACTTTCTGGAGAGCAGCCGGTATGAATCCAGGGCAACATTGTGACATCGCTACGACAAGCATCCAAAGAAAGTACTTTCGTTATTCTGTTTTGTACACACTGCTTTTCTAGGCAGGTCACTACATAAATTTCTCTCTTTCCGTTTTCTTCTAAATACTTAAACAGCTTCCATTTCTCCTCCAAACGGATATTAGCTTCAGTATGCTATTATTCTCACCGCTGATATCAGTGGTTCCAAAACATAAAAACACCCTAACACTCTGTGCTTCCAGCAATGTGCTACTCTGCACACTTAGTTCCAAACAGATCTCCAAAACTTCAATTCTTTCAAAACGACTTTTACTACTATAGACTCCTGATGCCAGTTTTAAAACCTTTAACATCCTTCTACTTCAGTATCAGAGCTTGAGAATTCAAACGACACGAAAAGCTGTCATAAATTTAAAATCACGTTCACATGATGTTTCCCTTGAAACTAACTCCAATAATTTCCCAGACACAGATTCGTTTGCTAGTAAACTGAAACGTGCAGTCCTGAAAACACTCGGCGTGCACCTTCCAGCGGTAAGAACACAACCACTGACCCACCTACTTCCACCGTCCCAAAAGGGGAAATAAGCCATCCTCCCTGCCCCCCCAAAAAACCCTATATTGAACATTCAGAGAAAAATCTGTAAATAGGAAGCTTTTCAACAGATTAGTATATACATCCACAATTTATTAACTGAGGCACAGAAACCTTACAAAACGACTCTGAAAGGCCCCAGGCGACGTGACCCTACAGGAGCATCCTCAAACGAGAAGCTCCCTAATTTTGGGGGGGGGGGGGTGCGTTCCACAAGCCGGGCTCCCAAAGCGACAGCGAAGGAGTGACAAGCGGAGGCCCTTTTCCTGTTATTCCGCAGGGCCTGGGTGGCAGGGGGAGCGCCGAATCGCTGCCGCCCTATAGGGCAGCGTCAACAGCACATGCCCCCAAAACACTCTTGGATCCAAAAAAAAAAAAAAAAACCCCAAAAAACAAAAACAAAAGACATCCACAGTGGCGAGTTTTTGTCGCCCTTAATTTAGGAAGCCGAACTACGTCTGGGAAAAGGAAGACGCCCGGCTGCTAACACGCAAGGACAACAGCACCCTACAGTCGGCCCCCCTACAGTCGAGGGGGCGTCTGGGACCACCGATCTAACAGCGCGAGGTGCAGGAGGAGGAGGAGCCGGGCTCCAGGAGGACCCCGACATCGCTGCGGCATCCCCCGGGGTCAGCGCGGGCATCCCGTAGGGCGCCGCCCCCATCCCAGGATGGAGAAGCCCCCCACCCCCACCCCGCCCCGAGCATCCGGGCGGGGTCATCACCTGGGGGTGGGGTGGGGTGGGGGGACACGCGAGCGGCACAAAGGGGAACATCGCCAGCCCACGCCACCCCACGCAGAGACCCAGGACCGCCCCCCAAAGCCCAGCCGCCCATCCCAGGCCGCCGGGTCTGGACCACCTGGACCCATCCCTCCTCCCGGCCCGCGGACGCGCTCGGGGGGCCGCTCTCACCGGTCCCGAAGGCCTTGGCCACCAGCCAGGCCAGGTTGCAGGCCACCTTGGCCCGCGAGAAGTCGTAGTGGTCGAAGGGCTTGATGGCCGGCACGAGGAACGTCCGGCGCGCGTCCCGCGGCTCCGCCGCATCCCCCATCTTCTCCCGGCGCGACCCTGCCTTCCTTCACATGGCGGCGCCCGCGGGGCACGGGCCGGCGCGGACCCTCGCGGCCGCCGGCGCGGCGGGCATGGGAGCGGGGCGGCGCCGCGTCCGTCCCTCCGTCTGTCCGTCCGTCCGTCCGTCCGCCCGCGAGCGCGCGCGTGGCGCCGCCGCCTCCCCTTTGTCTCCCCTCAGTCACACGGGCGGCGAGGGCGGAGGCTGGAAGGGCCCGGAATGTGACGGGGGGGAGGCTCGCTCAGTCACGTTGTGGAAAATGTCCCCGCCATCGTCGCCGCCGCCCCCGCCCCCTCGCTCGCCCGTCTGTCTGTCCGTCCGTCCGTCCGTCCGCCCTCCCGCGGGACCCTCGGCCGGTGGGCGGAGGGCGGAGGGCGGAGGCCGAACGCGCACGCGCGGGCGGGGTGGAGGGTGGCCGGCCGCGGGAGACGCCGCGGGGAAACGCCGAAACCACTGCGGCGCCCGCCCGGCCCGCCTCAGCGCTCCCCCCGCCGCCGTCTCCGCCCGCCGCCGCCGCCGCCGCCGCCTCCCGAGTCTTCCTCCCGCCGACGGCGAAGGCGGCAGTGCGACAAGTCGTGGGTCCCAGGCTCTGAGTGCCTGCCTCAGCGGGGATGCCCTTGGATTGCCGCCCCCTCAGCCGGCCCCCCTCGGCCGCCCCCGCAGCCGCCGCCGCCGCCGCTGCGGTGTTCCGGCTGCGGCACGGGACGCAGCGAGCCGACGCGGGCACTGAGCATGCGCCCTCCCGCGAGGGCGGCCCCGCCCCCGCCGCGCTAGCCCCGCCCTGCCGCCCGCGGAGCATGCGCAGCCTAGCGCCCCGCCCGCGCCCTGGGTTCCGTGCGGCTGGTCTTTGATGCTCGCTGGGCAGGGCGCCCTGGAGTGGACATCCTCCGCGTCCCTGGCGTTTGCGGCCGCTGCTCCCGCTGCTGGAAGAGGAAAGGGAAGGAAGGGAGGAGAGAGAGGCCTAGCAGTGGCTTTCATTGTTTAGCTACACAGTGGTTAAGCAAAGAGAACTGGTAACGTGCACTGTTACGTGCACGCACTTTGCTGCGAACTTGACGTGCATGATCCTGTTTAGTCCTCGAAGTAACCCTAAGGGCTAGATGTTATCGTTGATGGACCCTGAAATTGCAAAGGTGAAGTGAGTTGATTAGGTCACGCATGGGGGCTTAGCCAGGATTCAGGAGCTATGAAGCTCCCACCCTGTATTAATTTCGCGACATCATGATACTTTTCTTAACTGGATTCTCCCCGCTTAAACCTCCTCTCTAGAAGGGGCACGTCCATCAATGCCTCCTCGTTCCTTCCAAATAGAGCATAAATTCTCATGCAAAGCGAACGGATGCCCACCGTGATTTGGCACCTGCAGACCTTTATGGCTTCGTTTGTCAGAGCCGCTCCCCATTTTCCCAAAGGGGCGTTCCTTCTCGGATGCCCACGTCTTTGCTCGATGAGCTCCCTCGGTCCACTCCTCCTCGGCAATAATCACTTGCTCTAGGAAGCCCTACCGACACCCTCCCGGTCAGGTAGGTGCCTCCTCGACTGTCCCCAAAGCACCCTGTTCTTATTTCTGTCACAGCACTTGCCACATACATGCAATCAGCAATTACTTATCTGTCTTTCCCACTGATGACAGGGTCTATCTTCAGCTTCTGTACAGCACCCAGCCCATAGGAGTTGCTCAATTAATGTGTAGGAACTAAGGATGGGTATTACTGTAGTTCACGCTTATTGAGCTTGACTCATTAATGCCTCATGTTGTCGCAAATAACCAATAACCATTCTATAGAGGAGAAAGATAAGGTGAGATCTGAGCCAAGCTGAGGAGGACCCTGGGATGGCGGTCTCCACAAAGGAAGAAAGTCTTCCAGACAAGCATTTTTAGAACAAAAAACATACATCAAACATGCCCAGGATCACATTCATCAAAATTTCAAAGAGATATTCAGTGCTAGATTAACAGGTCAACATGACCCTGATGTCTGTGAAAGGAAACTTACCTTCCCAGGACTGATATTGGTGTGGCAGGAAAGGAAGTCTGCATCCTTATCTTGAGAGAGTGCATTCCTTTACCTCAAGATAATGTTGAGTGCATTCTTTGCTTTGGTGGTTAAAGCAGAGGTACAGTGTAAGGTTGACAGGCCACAAGTCAGACAGGTTTAGTTCAGGCCGAATCAGGTTTAAACCAGGATAGCTACTCCATATGCCTCAATAGGTGAAAATTTCTTATCACTCACTATATCTCATTTTACTGCATTATCTAATTTTAATCATTGTCAAACCCTGTGGTATGTCATTTCACAGATGAGAATACTAAAGCTCAGAAAAATTTAAAAATTACCCCATATCACACTACTAGCAAAGTGGTAGAGCCAAAATTTGACAAACATGTATCCTGGGCGTGTTTAATGTATGATTCTTTGTTCTACAAAGTATAAGACTATACTGAAAACCATGCTTGTCTGGAAGCCTTTCTTCCTTTCTGGAAAAGGCCTTGCTGGGTTGTAATCCTCAGTTTTGGCTCAAGTAAAACTCACCTTATTTCCCTTATCTACAGATGATTATTGGTTATTTTTCATTGACAGGGGATAATAAAATTAACCTATGAATAATAGTTCACAAAGCGGGTTCATATGGTAACTATGTTAATTCTCACATCCATTCTGTGAAATAGGCATTCTTATCATCTCCCAATTCTAGCTGCAGGACTGACAGGCAGAGAGATTAAGTTGCATAGCCATGATTTCACGGTTGATTTATATCTGAGTCTGGCTTCAAAAACAAGTACGTCTTCTGACTCTGTTCCTCAGGTGCATTTCCTGGTGCCTGTTCCCTCCCCAGATTATGGAGGCTGACACCTACATAAATAAATGTACTAAAATGTAAAAGAGGTAAGTGCTGGAAGAGATAGAAAGGTGGAGGGACCAGGAAAGTTTCGTAGAGACATCTGTTGAATCTCATGTACTCAAATCCACCTTCAATTGAATTCCAAAGCAACAAGTCAAATTAAGAGAGACCTATAGCCCGGAGAGGTGGAAAAGAGATCCCGAAACATTTCACCAGTTGTTATAACAATCTGCAAGCCAGTACAAGATTCTCGAGGCCAGAAACCGTGCTTAATCAACTTGATGTGTGTATGTGGCCTAGCACAGCACTTTGCTCACATGGGTGCTGGGTAAATGCCTGCTGAATTTTACTGAAAGCTATGTCAACCTAAATAAACATGACGAGGAAGAGAAGGAAACAGACAGTTGCTCTGACTTGCCCTTGATTCAATGGTGATGCATTTAGTGGCGATGGCATTGCTATGACCCCAACTGGGGAGGAGTGTGTTTAGGAATGGGGAAAAAAATACCTACACAAAGAGCAGCTTTTACTTTCAGGGAGGCTGTGAAACTTGGGGTCATAGTATGAGGCTATTATTAACAGAGAAACACCCTGAGAACAAAGAAGAGGGATTCATTTTCAGGGAGACAGACACTGTAATAGGGTGTTCTTTGTGACACCTTCAGAATGCTCCCTTTCAAAACTTGGAAATCTCTGCAGAGTACCACTGTCAAAAAGAAATGCTCTCCACTGCTTTCTTAAGATATCTGACTTCGTTAAAAACAGAAACAAAACCCAATGATCCTTTGGGCTAACTTGTCCACCTGCCCAGCACTCCCTCTATTTTTTCTCTCCAGGCTGAGCCTCTATCCATTAGGCAACAGTTACACCTATTCCTACACATACTCTACAATCCCTCTTCTCTCTATTTTAAAAGTTTCTCTTCTTTCTCCCAGAAAATCCACAGTGTCAGCCAGACTTCCTTCTGTGCGGCCATACTCAACCTCTCATAGATTCATAAATGTATTCATTCATTCATTGGCCAGTATTGATTGACTGAGTACCTGGATGCTGAGGATACAGCGTTGACCAAGACAGCTGAGGAAGCAAATTTTTAAGGAGAAAACGTAGAGATCCCAGGGCCTGAGCAGCCCAGCTTTCCTTTATTGTCACGTCTGTGTCTCTGTCGTTTAGAAGCCTTGTCACTTCGCCTGTAGACATCTTCAGCAGAGTGCACCCTCAGACACAAAGAAACACGAAACCACAGAGTACTACAGTGAGACCTCATGTTATTTTTAAAATTGCAAGCATGTATACATACACTATCATCCACTTTCAATCAGTTACACTAACAGTAGCTAACACTTATTCGGTGTTAACACTTTCTATGTATCAGCCTCTGCTCTATGTAAAGTTACTTAATCCTCACCACGGCCTTGTTGTTATCATCCTCCCTTGACAAACGGAGAAACCAATGTGCAGAGGACTTCAGTCAATGGTGAAGACCTTACGTCATTCTGAAACTCGAAGAACTAAAGTAAGTAAACTTTTAATCAACCAGGTTAAGAAGGACCAACGGGAAAAAAAAGAATGCCTAGCTAACTGATGACAATAAGAGGTTTGTTGGTGGGAGAATAGCAGCATCCAGTAAACCAACGTGGGCAAGAAGGGTCTGTGCTGTGTATCTGACACTCTATCCTCTCTGGACACAGTTGTGGCTTTCGTCTGAATAGCTAACAGAATTTTACAAGGATTATCTCATCAACCTTCACCAAATTCCAACAAGGCCTGCATGGTAGGATGCCAAATGTGTGGCTGGAGCAACTGAAACACAGGGAGGCCACATAATTCCCGGAGTTGCACTGTGAGTCAGTGTCTAAACTGAAAAGTGAAACCTGGCCCTCGGGTTCCCAGGTACGGCACCCTATTTTCCCAGATCCCTAAGATATTTTTTCTTTACTTACTCCCTACTCCAACCAAGGTCCCTGAGTCTCTTGTAATGGGCAAAGCTTCCACCATTTTTAACACTATTGAAGATGGGTAAGGATATGGGAGGTAACAGAAGGAACAGTGGGCTCGGGGTAAGGACCCCGGCTTCCAGGACTGTTCCGCCACTGACTTGGGGGAACACATGTCACTTCTCTGCTCTCTGGTTTCCACTGCTGTAAAATAAGGGGGAGGAATTAGACAACTTCTAAGGTCCTTCCACTGCCAACAGTCCTCAACAGGAGGATGACACCCACATACGTGACCAGATCACAACTGAAGGTTAAATCAGTCAGCCGCCTAGCATTCAGGATTTAAATCTGTAGAGCAAGAGTTACTTTTTTATTTCCAGAGAGCTTCCTGATGGGATTGTGGGGAAAGCCTAGGGGAGGTTACAGAACAGGAAATGGGATCCTCCAGTGAAGGCAGGGACCGAGTCAAAAATGGAAGGACTCTAGAAAGAAGGGGATGGATGGAGTTGGTCGTTGGTCATTTTCCTCTCACTGGGCTTCCAGTCCCAGTGTCTCAAATTCTGCTAATGACACCACTTTCTGCTTAAAATGTGTCATCCTTGAGCCCTCCTCCTCTCTCACCCCACTCCATCCTAGCAGCCCAAGTATCTCTCACTTCCATTTACTCTGTTCCCTTCCCACGAATTTCTCGTTTCCTCTCATTCACTCCCACTCAGTTTCTCTGCTTTTGAACCCGAAGGTTAACGCAAGAAATCTTCCTAAACCTGAATTCTGATGAGTCAATGAACATCCACAGTCAGCAAACGTTAGTGATTTCAGACTATGCGTCCGATACTGTACTAGGCCTTTCACATACTGCATCTCATTTAACTCATCATAAAACAGCATGTAACATAGGTATTGATCTCTTTTTACAGACGGAGAGTTTACGAGGATTCCTCAAGTTTTG